CCCCAAAACCCCAAAACCCCAAAACCCCAAAACCCCATATCCCAGAACAACAATTGAATATTATAAAATAATATGGGTAAGCTTTCTTCTTTGCCGTCTGGATAAGGCCTAGTAGCCTCTTTTGAGGTTAAGTCTTCTGGACTGCTAGGTATAGATTTTTGGTTCATTCTGGTGGTAACGAAGTGCCTAATTTATACTCTGAGAAATCTCCTTTAGAGGACTATCTTTTGAAATTCTATCTAGAGTAATATTTAAACAGCAGTAATAAGATTTTGACATTTTGTCCTCTGGAGTCCTAGATATCTCTCTTACTTCAGCTTTGATTCAAATTCGTGTTGCTTTATTAATATAATAGAGAAAAAGAAATTAAACTAATAATTTGTGTTCAAAAGCTATTCGCTGTGCTTTACTATCAATTTCTATCACTTTTCCAACCCAAATTCAATGATCACTAAGCCTAAATCTATAGCTAGGGCTTAATTTGTCCTAAACCCTCATAATTATTCTTAAAAGCATACCCCAGCTTGGGCTTTACAGATTGTTAAAGGTGTCATGATAAGATATTTGGAATTATCTTTTATACGATTTCATCCATCCCAATTAAGAACTTACATCAATGGGGCCAAACTGCATTCTCTTAAGCTCTAAAACTTGTGAGAGCTCCTTGAGCAGCTGTTTTCAGGGTTTTATCGAAGTTATGAGGCTGGTGAAGCTCACTTGAAACAGAGCTGCGATTTGTTAATAAATGCCTAATTTACATTAGATAATCCATAGAACATGCATATAAGAGACTAGATGCCTCTACAAAGACTTTTGAGACCTGGAGATACTTGAAGTACCATCCCTTAATTCGGTCTTGCCATATAGCCTGCCTAGATCTTCTAAATTTGTGAATGTAAGTAGCCAGATTAGAAGTAGTCTAAGATCTTGGCGGTCACTTATCTGGTGTTTTCATCGTAGTTGTTCATCAAAATTTTATTCCAAGATCTTAGGATGTCAAAATGACCTAATAATTTATAGGAAAGAAATATAAAAATCAGTGATTCATGATCATAGTAATCATTATGTTATGACAGTGCGCACATGGAGCTATCATGGCAACTTACTTGTTGCATGGTCTTGGAGGTGGAGTCACAAGTGTCAGCAGCAGTGAAGGATGGGCAAGCCAACCAACACTTGATTTCCCCGGTATTGCTTTCCTTTACTTTTTAGGAGGAAATAATCCTACAAAAGGAACTAATGGAGTAGATGTTGGACCAGGAGAGTAATTTAGCAGTCTTACAATGTTTAGATACCTCTCTTTCTCAACCTTCTTCGATAATTCAGGGGCTGATTACATCTCTGCTGCCATCTGGATCTACAAAGATAATAAAAGAATGGAGGAGTTTGTTCAAATAGGCCACAGCGTAAGTCTTATTTTACACAAATTTGCTCTCTATAGCTTTAAGTTTCATAATAAGTTAACTATATAGTTCACTGCAGCAGGGTATGCAACAGGAACTGGAGCAATTACTGTTAAAGGAATGGGATCAGGAACTAGCACAACTCAACTAAATGTGAATGGGAGCGATGTTAGCGGAACTAGCATTGGTATTCAGCGTAAGATTCACCAAGCGTTTCAAAATGTTGGGGTCATCATCAAGACCAAGATTCTTACTAATGGAAGAGATATATTATTTTCTTTTTCTGTTTGATGCTCAAACCCTTAGTTTTAAATGTAGTTTCTCACTTTGAGGCCAATTAAAAAGACTAGGCCCTGTGCCACGTTGTTTTGCTAATTTCTAAAGCCTATTAGTTTTATGAAAAGAATATTTGCTGCTCAATTCAACTTGGTGTTCTGAATTTTTTGAGATTATTCAGAGTCATTTGCTTATACAGGCACTGAGCCCATGCAATCAGACTAGTTCTTCAATAGTTTAGAAGTCTGAAGAATTAGATACCAAGAGATATTCAGCTACATCTGCAAGTTTACAGACCTTCTTCAATTTCTTCTTTTTATTTTATGATCTAAGAATTTCTTCATAAATTTTCCCAATATTTCTTAAGCTTAGAAATATCCAGACTGTCGATGTAAGACTGAGGAGGTGACTAGACTTCTCCAAGCTGAGGGTTAGGCTCTATAAATGTTATTCTAATGCTAGGAAATCAAGAGATAAGTTAATTTGATTTTATGTTAACCTCTTTGAAAAATCCTTGCTTTTGCAGTGAGTAGTATCTGAATTTATTCGTCAGATGTGAGCATACCTTCCCAAATTAATATTCTTGCATGCTTCTGGTTAGAAATAGACCAAATAATTTCTATAGTTTTAGTTACAATTTTACCTCAGTTATGAAACCCCGGAGATGTAGAAGAACATAAGATATTAGAAATTTCTGGCAGAATTAGCTGAATGTTTTGACTTTGTATCAAAGATGCTTACATTAATTAAAAGAACAAGCCTAGGGATCTGATTAAGGTCCGAATATGGTTAGATTGGCATATTGGTCCATCTCATCTCTCTAGTGTTGGATCATTGAGTCTTGCCTGAGTTCTAGTCTACCAGCATATTTAGCCATCTTGTGTAATTTAATTAGAAGATTCTACAAGATATTTCTCGAAAAAATCATCTCTCTTTGTATCTGAAATTCACTGCCTAACCTCAATATAGAAAATGAATGGACTCTGATTGGCTTCGGATGGGGAAAGGTAACAAATCAACTTCTTAATATTGACATTAGGCTTGTTTTAGAGCTAGTATTTTATATTTTGAGCTATTAAAGACAATTTCAAATGTAAAGTACATGGTATTTAGTTCTGGAAGATTGATTTCTCTCTGAAGACTTGCTGAGAAAATATTAAGACTTATTAAAAGGGGATGTAGAACATCCTTAGTGTTAGTTGATCTAAAAACGTCTTTATTATGCCAATTCTTATATCATACATTTCGAATAATTTATACAGAATGAAAGCTACATCAAGCTGATTAGAGATGGAGGGGGAGGTGTGTTCAATAATATCTCTACTCCTATCAGCAGTTGGAGTGGTAGTAGCACGGATTATTTTGTGGGAAACAAAAATAACAACTGCCAATCAGGCTGTAGCTATACAATTCATAGCATCAGGATCTACTCAGATGAACTTCCAGGAGTAGCTCAGGACTTGTATAATGCTCCTTACAATGGTAAGAGCTTTACCAATATTTCTAACAATTTTAGAATGGTCATGGCAAACCACTTGAGGAAGCGGAACCAGGGAAGGAGCTGAAGTATGAGATGATGGTAACTACAACTCAGGCGACGGATGAGCTTTAGGATGCACACTTGAGACAGGTTATTCATGAACTGGAGGAACTGCATCGACTATAGATACATGAAGCTTAACCTGCCAGTCAACTTCCAGTCCAGCAGATCAGACCGTAGACTGCTATGACAGCAATACTGTTGCTGGAGACGGCTGCAGTTCAGTTTGTAAAGTTGAAAGTGGCTACACTTGTTCTTGGAACACTGGAACAAGTGAGAGTGATTGCACCGATGATTGTGGAGATGGGAAGATAATTACTACTATGCCAGCCACTTATTGAGATGACGGTAATACAAGCAACAACGATGGCTGAAGCAGCACCTGAGCTATAGAGAGTGGATGGATTTGATCTGGAGGGACTACTTCTACTGCTGACACTTGTTCAGACGACTGTGGAGATGGTAAAGTAATGGATGTCCAAACAGGCTATTGAGATGACAATAACAATATTGACGGAGATGGATGTAATTCTACATGTGCAGTGGAGACATACTGGACATGAACATCTGGTAGCTCTACTACTGCTAGTTCTTGATCTGATATTTGAGGGGATGGAAGAAGTATGGATCCAGTCTTAGGCTACTGAGATGATGGAAACACCAGTAGTAGTGATGGATGTAGTTCAGCCTGTGCTGTGGAAACAGGATGGACTTGAACTCTCGGTGACTCTTCAACAACAAGTGTTTGTTCTGATGATTGAGGAGATGGAAAAGTGATGGCAACTTCTGCTACATACTGAGATGATGGAGATAATACTTCAGGGGATGGTTGAAGTAGCACATGCCAAGTAGAATCAGGATGGACATGAACATCTGGAGATGCAACCACTGCTAGTGTTTGAACAGATACATGAGGCGATGGTATTGTAATTACTGCTCAAGCAGCTACTTATTGTGACGATGGAAATACCAACAGTGGGGATGGCTGAAGCGCAACTTGACAAGTCGAAGCTAACGTCAGTTGTACATCCGGAGATACATCAAATGCAAGCGTGTGTACAGATACTTGTGGAGATGGCTATGTCAGTATAAACACACTTTCTCCTACTTACTGTGATGATGGTAATAACATTAATGGAGATGGATGCTCTAGTACATGAGCTGTAGAGTCTGGTTACACTTGTCAAGGAGGAAGCTCAACCACCAGCTCTACATGAACAAGTTGATCAGTAAATAATTGAGCTGCTTGAGTAACAGGCGACCAAAGTGCATGACAGACTTGCAATAGTGGATATACTCTTGATAATGGTCAATGCTCCTTGGAATCTTCTACAACATCTTCCACAACAACGTCCTCATCAGAGGGAGTATCCTCTTCAGAATCTACTGCCTCTCAGTCTGCAATGGGAGCAGCTGCAGCTGCTACAGTGATAATCTCAGTGCTAAACATGTCATCTCCCACTGTCTTATGGGCGATGGCCAATCAATTGCAACTTTTACTGCTTCTCGTTCTGACAAATTCCTCAATGCCTTCCAAAATAGTAGAATTTTTGACTGCGAACAGATTTGCTTCTTTCTCATTAGACTTTTTATCTCTAGATAAGCTACCAGGGCTGACACTGGTGAAAGGCTCGTTTATCAAGAAACAAGATGACAGCAATTTGTCTGAGATTGGCATTGAATCAGGGAGCACATTCTACAATAATTTCACCCTGATTTTCTTGATTTTCTTCGTGTTATTGCCCGCCCATATCTGATCAATGCTGATCCCAAGATGTAAGAAGATGCCATACTCTGAATCAAAGTGCAAATCCAAAATTGGAAGATTAATCAACAAAGGAAAAGACATACTTTTTGAGCTATTCAATTTGACGATTTATTTGAGACTTTTCCTTGAAGCCTACCAATTCATAATGCTGGGATCTGTGTCTGAGATATTCAGACTAGAGTACACAGAATACGTATCTTTCCTGATTTCATGAGTTGCCTTGATCTTCTGAGCTTTCTTGCTCTATGTATCCTACCATGTCTATGCTACCACAATGAAGTTCTACGATGAAGAACAGTTTTACTACTTTAAAGAGCTTGCTAGAGGACTGAAGGATTCCAAAGAAGCCAGGATTTACACCTTCTTCCTCCTCCTAAGGCGCTTTGTGCTCGTGATTTGGCTCATCAGCGTGAAAGATGCAAATAAATACTTTGCCATTGTGTTTCTGTCTGTATTTCAGTTGTTCTATTTCGCGAGAATAGTGTACTCGAGACCTCAGGCGGGAAAATGTGAGAACATAGTTGAGATCACAAATGAAGTGTTCTTCACTGTTCTAGCTTGCCTGTTATTGCACCTGAACACTACAGATGTTTGGGAAGGCACAAGCACTTCTGTTTATTTGTACATTTTAATTTCTAACAATGTAGTAATTGCAATGATAATGCTGTGTAAGTTAACTTTTCTTAAAAATAGCGAATCTTATCTACGATCTCTCTTGGAAACTTAAGAGAAGATGCTCTAAGACAATCAAGACTCAAGCGAAGCCTAAGGTAATTCTAGTTGCTAGTTTTTATAAATAGGCTCCTGAAGTAGTGAAGAAGTTTGAAGAGCCTCACAATCAGATAAAGAAGACCAAGATTATAGACTTTCATGACTTCTCAAAAGTTACTTCAAATTCAATGATAAAGACTGAGTCTGCCAATTGGAACGCTGGATCTAACATTCAAGTGTACAAATTGCCTCAGAATCACAAGGAAATCCTAAAAAGCTCAAAGCGTTCAAACCAAGACCACGGAATGGAGCAATTCTAATCTTGCTCAAATATCCTTCTAATGGAATATTCCATATTATTGATTTTTAGAAAATTATTTTAAATAGTGTCTTCAATAGCTCTCAGCTAGCTCGGGGTTTTGGGGTTTTGGGGTTTTGGGGTTTTGGGG